TATGCAAACTATAAAGTTTACCCTATCCTAAGAAATTGTTTAAGAAGATTTATCATACAAAAGTATCAAAAATATTTTTTCTAATAAAATAAATGTGGACAGACATAACTTCATTTTGAGGATGCATTAAGTATTCACGCTAAATGATCTACTGAAAACCACATCTTCAAATCACAGCTTATATCACTACATACTTATGCAAGAATAAACATGTATATGTTGATTTATATTTTCCTATACTCATTCTGATATACTACAAAGAAAATCAACCTAATGAGTAAACTTCAAGTACAAGTTCCTTAAACACAAACAAAACTGAAGACACTAATTTTGAAGAATGAAACATAATCCTTTCATTGAATAGTTATGAACAAAGCTTAGACTCAATGAAAATATTAACCAGCTCTCTAAGATGGTCAACAAAAACTTGCCACAGAAATTCCTGAAGTGTTCCTCCTTCAATGAGCCAGAGTCATGACATTTAGCCAAATTATCTTATTTCACACTTTCCACACACAGAAGAGTGAAATCAGCTCCTGGCACTTTCTAAAAGCCTAAAGCTCTTAAAATTTACCCATTACTAATACTTCAACAGAAGTAAAATTTAAAAATACAAGAAGAGGAACTAAAATATACTCATTCTGCATTCTGCAAAGCTCAGTGGATTCTCTGAACTCTTTAATGGCATGCCCTAGAATAATGCTAAGAAAATGTTAAAAAAAAAAAACTATGCTCTATAAAAGCTAATTAGCAGCTTGCCAACAACTGCAGAGTATTTTTATAGCTGTTATCAATTACTACCTTCTCTTGGGGAAAAAATTTAAACTGAAAAGAACCTGAAATGTGAGGAAATGAGGAGAGAGCTCAGAGCCTTTTGCTCCTATGACCTGTTTCAATGTCTGGTCATATATTAATAATTTCTATCTTTAGTCTTATACACTCAGGAAAAAGGGTACTGATACAGTTTTCATTGAAGGTACACTATTAGAGGAAGTATAAATTTTAAAAGATTAATATTTTCATATCCCTGACTCTTTCACAAAATTTTCCCACAGAAAACACTCACACAAGTGTACTTTAAGGACATTCTTTAAAGCACTGCTCTTAGTATTGAAAAATGGGAAGCAACCCAAATATCCAACAATGGGAAATTGTTTAAATGACCTGTGATGTAATACGTGCAGCCAGAATGCTCCACGTGTATGGTCATGCAAACATTTTCAAGACACATTAGGTTCAAAACAGAAGCCAAGTTGAAAGTAGTTCCGTGTTGCCCCTGTGGTTATTAATAATCACAATAACAGTAAACATATTTTAATATGAAGAGAAATTTTGGGAGAAAAACATATACCTATTTATAGCAGTTTCTCCAGAATATAAGATTACAGTGTGCTGTTATTTTCAAAATTACATATTCCTGTAAGTTTGAATGTTAAATAATGTAGGCTGTGTGTATAATCAGAAAAGAACAAAGTGTTAAGTTGGCGATATAAGTGGAGCGGAAGTAGGAGAGAATCTTATGTATAAAGAAAAGGAAAACTTAGGGTGTTAACACTTTAATGTAATAGCTCTAAAATGTCATCTGTCTGTACCTCTCTTGTGGAAGACAGCTCTATCCTTATTCTCAGAACTTCAAAATGCAGCAACGAACACAGAGATATTGGAAAAGCTCCCTTAGCGTCTTCTGTTAGTCACAGCTTCTCAGGATAAGAGTTCAGCCCAAATTCCAGTATTTATCAAATTCAAGTGAGCAACACTGTAAATCCCTAAAAAGTTGCGCGCAAACTGCCGAGGTGTCTTCAATTCTAATGAAAAGTTATTATAGAATTAACCAAAAATTTTGTCTGCAGACTAAAGATATTTGAAGCATTTTCATAATGGAAATAGGAGTAATTACAGAAACCACTTTTGAATCCACTGTCCCGTAACCTATTCAAACATTGTAAAAACTACAGAGGAGAAGTGAAAATTGCCTAGAAAGGTAATTGAGGAATTACAAGCCTGGGCAAAATTTCCACCTGCCGGGGCGGGGGGGGCGGCGCGGGCGGCTGTGAACTTGTGCTGGGAAGGGTTTGTTTCTCCAGCCATGTGACCTTCACAAAACATTTAAACTCCTATACCTCAGTTTCCTCACCTGCAAAATGAAAGAACTGGGAATAAGCAATCTCTAAAATTCTGAAAACAGACCTTTACTCTGTCCTTGCCAAAAGATATTTTTAAAAGAATATGCATGTCCATAATATAAAATATAAGGTACTAGCCACAAACAGTAGACTCCTGCCTGGCTTCCCCTAATCCTGAGTCCTACTCCCCAAAAGATGCTCCTTCAATTTTCAAAGTGTTTTTTCTAGTAACTACTTCCTTATTTATAAATCACACACTCACATTCCTATGTCTTGATTTTTTTTTTAATTTTAGACATTACCGAAGTTCTTTATTCAATTTATTGGGGGCATTTATTCATCCAACCCACCCATCTCTCTAGGTACAGCCACACTGTGGACAGGCAAAGGATACAAATATTACGTACACATATAGATGTGTGTAGTCCTGTCTCCATATACGGACCATCTGCTTAATAAGAAATAAGATCCCTTTGCACACCCAAACACTTTATAAGAGGTAGCAGGGAAAAAATGTAAAACGTGGCCTTATCTAAATCGGAAATCCTGAACTCAGGTTTGAGTCTCCCACATTCAGGAGCCAAGTGCACACCTAAAAGTTGCTTATCTTCTCATCTGTTTTCCTCTCGTGTAGTCGGAATAGAATAGCACCCACTACAAAATAGTTAAATCACAGCACACTGTTAATCATAAAGCACTACAGAAATGTTATTTTCTGTTACTGTCTTTACTAAGAGATCCCCATAAATGAAGTCCCTGAAGTTACTGATCACTCTTGAGCACTGCTTCCCTACCTAGACTAAAAACTAAGAGTTGGAAGTAGCTGAGAGTTAGAGTGAAGCAGATGTAAATTGTGTTCCAAGGTCAGAATCTGAGGGTCTAGTTCATTAAAGGGCCAGTGTGTTGCCCTATGAGACAAATGTACACAGAATAAAGATCAAGCATTTAAGGAGGGATCCAAGAGAACAATTATGTTTTACATTTGGAGAGAGCGGAAGCTTTCTTATCAAATTTTCTCTTTAAAAGTAATACAGAAACTGGTTCAAAAGTTGCTCCTTAGACAACTCTTCTTTGTCTCTCCTAATATATACCTCTACATGTCTGAATAATTTCTTTGTATACCTGCTTCTTGACTTGTAGGCATTATCTACTGACTTCCTATTACTGTAGAAAAAACTCTGCAGAGAAAGTGTTCTGAACCAAACTCGGGAGGTTGTCATGAAGAACTGTCCAGCAATACATTACTCTGACTCTGTAGTAAAGCAGTCCTTTCATGTCCGGCCTTCAAAGGCCTGCAGGAAAAGCGATACAACCTACAGAGTCTCCACGCAGAGGCAAGGAGGAAGCTAGTGAAGCAACTGGGCCTAAATTATTAGGCTATTCTAAATTTCCTTTGAATCTAGTTCATTGATTCTTGGTTTCTCTTACCTTTTCTACCCGCCCCACACAGCTTAATCCTGTTCCAAAAGCTACAGGACGAATGACAAAGGGGACCCCAAATTTAACTTATTTCTAGACAAGCATGGACACAGTTCTTAGGAGCTCTGCAGTAAGGGATTAACTGGAACTAAAAGAAACCAGCCTTTACTCATGTCTGTCCAGAGAAGTCCACTGGAGTTCTCCAAATGGGGACTTCAGCTATAGTTCGCTAGGCTTGGGCAGCTTCGGGGATAACATCCTGTCTAGTGACAGGTAGACAACAAACCTGAGGGTCAAGCAGGTGACCCTGCCAAGCAGGCAAGATGCACTAATTAATGAGAGGAAATCTTTTCCCTCATTAACCAATGGCACAAAAGGTGATTAAACAGGAAATACTTTCCAGTGACCTACATAATTTCATCAGGGCTGCTATCACTAGTAGCAGAGAGCACCTGACTTCCTAACGAGATGAATTTGATAGCAGGACCCTTTCTGGGAAGTGAGGGAGCAGTGCCAGTTTTTAGGGAAGCAACAATTGGTATGTGTTGTTTACTACTATTCCTCAGTGCTGCCTCTCCTCTGTTTGGGGCTCCTTCTCCCAACCCGCGGGTGCAATTTCCCCTTCCCCGGACGACTGAGGCACCTGCTGAACGGTGGAGGCGGGATCAGCGAAGAGGGGATGGATCCAGGTGGGTGGGCCAGAGCTGGGCTCATTCATCAGGTCTGCTCACGTGATTCCCAAAGCCCCTAGCAAACGCGGCTGCCACTGCTGCCACCAACACCTCGCTCTGGCCGCGCTTGAAATAGGACAGCGGCTAGTTCCCCTCTCTAGCAGAAGTGGGGTTAACAAGGGAGCTTTGTTGAGGTCGAGGCGGGACACACACAAACACACCATCCGCAACAACTTCAGGACCCAAGGAACGCAGTTTCACTTGAGAACTTTTGAAATTGAGCAACAGCCACCAAACAAGTCAGTCCTTACAACGATAAAGTGCTGCAAACCTCAAAGTGGCGCCGCCTCTGTCTCTCGTGTAAACGAGGAGGAGGTTTGGAGAGGAGAGCTGAGCCCCAGATCCCTGTTCCTCCCGCAGGACCCGGCTCTCTGACCCCGGGGACCGAGAAAAGGGGTGAGGAGCCCTCATGACATCTTTCTCCGTCAAAACGAGCTGGCTCGCTCTCTCTCCCCCGGGGTTATCACTGAGCAACACCCAGTCCCACAGCTCCGGGAGCCGCCACCTACCCGCTGCGACTCGGCGCTCCGGCGATCTGGTTTGGGATATTCCCATTGGGTCCTCCACCCCCGCCCCCACCCCAAACCTGTTCCTCCGGCCCAGCTGGGGGAGGGGGTGCAGAAAAGGTGGGACGCTTCGGCTCCTCCTCCCTTAACCCCCTGAAGTTAAAACAACAACCACCAAAAAAAATCCCTCAAGTGCAATCTCACAGCAGCATGCCACGTACCTGTCTCCCTGGCCGTGGCGCCTCTTACCCGCGTGGTGTGGGACTTGCCCGACAAATGTCCCGGGACAGACAATCCAGAAAGTTTGTGCCTGGACCTGAGGACGCAGACCCGGGGCGACACCTGTGCTGAGTACCGAGGTAGGGGAGCCGGCCTGTCCCCGGAGACCTTGCAGGTCTCTGCCCGGCTCCTGCCCGGCTCCTCCCCGCCCGACTCCACCTCAACAGCAGCGCCAGGGGAAGGAAGTGCCAAGCTGGAGGAGGTCTGAGGGCAACTTTTCTTTTCGAAGGATCACCAGCGGGCGGGCGGCTGAGCCTCGTGGGTCCCCGATTCGCTCTCGCCCCTCCCCTCCCTTCCACACACTCCGGGAGGGCGGGACCGGACCCGGGCGGGGACCAACCTGCCACTCCGGACTAGGAGCCGGGCTGCGGCCCTGGCCCCGCCCCTGCACCCAGGACACGCTGCGCCAGGTGCCAGTTTCCAAGGTGAAGGGGGAGGGGCCTCTAGCAGAAAGTTTCCACTGAAACCTATACCTCTACCGAATGGAGGGCAACTCGCCCTTGGGGGCTTGCCCCTCGCGGGATCCACACTCCACACACACACGCCGCCCACAGGAAACTAAACCTGCGAAGTGGAGGAAGTCTGACAACTCCGCACACCACGGACGCTTTCAATTTCTCACTTCCCAAAAGTTTGACCGCAGCTACTGGTTCCCTCCCCCACTACCCTCCCCCCACAGACTCTAATTTCTTCCCCATCTCCCCCGCCCCCCGTGGTTTGAATCTTAAAGTGTTAATAAAGTCCCAAGAGAGCTGAGTCAAGTGATGGAAATGTTCCCCTGTTAACCTACTGGCAAGTTCCCTGTAAGTGGGCCGGGCGAGCCTGGGTCTCCAGACGTCCCTGCCGGGAGGAGAGGGGCCGGGTGTTACGGTTCTTTTTTTAAGGGGCATCGGTGTTATCAGAGCTGTTTGTGCGTCGGTGTGTGTGCGTGTCACGAGCAGCCCAAAAGCGAGTGCTCTTTAGTTTGGACTGTTCTGCAACTAAAAGGAAACTTTCCCAACTCAGGACTCCCCGGCAGATGAACAGGTTAGGAAATTATTTCCTTGCCGCTCTGGTTGGTGGCGGTGGCCTTGGGCACTGCTCCTTTGTCTCAATATCCTTCCCAGAGCCCAGACCTGGGACGGCCTGGCCCGGAGTTGGCCGGCCGGCCGCCCGGCATCAGACGCGGAGCGGTGCCCACTGCCACCCTGGCAGCGCCCCTCCACTCCCCTTTCCTCTGTCTCCCACTCCCCCTGCGCTGGGGCGGCGAAGTCAGCGCTCTGCTTTCTGGACATTAAATCCAGGAGGAGGAATCAAATTCTTGGTTAGAGGCCGTGCTGGCATTTTCAGAGCCCTGCGGTTGGTGTGGCTGAAACTTGAGGTGAGCCACAATCTGGGCAGGTTGGGTCACACCACGCTTGCAAAGGCGGATGTGGAGCTTTTTCCACCGCAGCGGCGTCCTGCTGGCGCCCCGCCAAACTCTCCTTTGGAAAAAAGCATCTTCCTCCCTTCATTCTCCAGGAATGGCATCCAGGGATAACCAAAATTAGTTGTAAATAGTTTCAAATTCTCTCTTGCAACCATGGCAATGCAATGATGCAAACTTCATGCTCCCTTCTAAGGCTACCACCCTGGTGCGCTTGTGCCTGGCAGCAGAGACACGGGGTGCGCTTGCTGAGATACCTCTCAGGACTCATCACCCTTTCACCTATAACAAGTAAGTGCAGACAAGGGGCTCATAGGGAAAAGCTGGGCAAGACGAGGGAGATAGAAATGAAAGTAGAAGCCAGGAAGTTGTGCACAGCAGGTCACCTTGGCCTGCCCTGACCATTGGAATGTGTTAGAATCATTCATTTATTCAACCAGTATTTATTTATTTATTTGAGTGCTTTATGCACGCCAGGCATTCTTCTAGCGGTTGGGGACACAGCAAAAAACAAAAACAAAAATCTTAGCCTTCCTAGAGCTCACCTTCCAGGTAGGAAAAACAGATGATAAATAAACAGGAAAACATGTGGGCAGCCATATGATTAAAAATGCTATAGAGAAAAATTAAGTGGGTGGGGGAGGGACAGGAGGAATATGACAGGGATCTCTTTCAAATAAGGCGATCAAGGAAAGCCTCTGAAGGACGTGACATTTGAGCAAAGGCTGAAGGAGATTAAGCAGCAAGATCTCTGCACAGAGAGCTTGTGAGGCAGAAAGTGGGTAGGAACTCTGAGGCCAGGCTGTGAGAGTGGAGAGGATGAAGTCAGAGAAGTAAGATACGGGCGACTCGTGCGGTGAGGATTTTACTCTGAGTTGAGAGCCCTTGGAAGGTTTGGGGCAAAAAAGTGACATCTTCTGACGCATCGTAACAGCACCACTTTGACTGCTGGGTTGAGAATAGCCAACTAGGAGGTAAGGGCTGAAAGAGACCAATTAGAAAGCTATTGAACTAATTCAGGAGCAAGAGGATGTGACTTGGACCAAGGAGGTGGAGTGGAGGCGATGAGCTGGCAGGGAGTCTGAACAGAGTGGATGTGGAGGAGGAAAGAAAGAAAACAAGGATGACTCTGAGGCTTCGAAGCCTGGAGCAGCTGGAAAGATGGAATCACCATAACAAACATGGAGAAGACTGTCAAAGGAGCAGGATGGGGGTAAAATCAAGAAAGCCAAGATGAAGACAGGAAAAGCAAGGACACATAATTTGAATGATCTTCAGCTAACAACATGAAGAAAACAGTACATACCTCATTAAGGTTCTTTTAAGGAAAACACGAATTAATACAGTCAAGTGTCTAGCACAGGCCCTGGTGTACAGCAGGTACTAAAGAATGTTAGTTTCCTCTCTACCAATATCCATTTCATACATATCCATCATGCCCTCTGTGGCAGGAGCAAAACAGAGCCATTGTCTCAGAGGAAATAAGTCTTACTAAAGGTAAAGGAGAGGGAAAAGAAAACAGAAAAGAATGCACATGGAATGAAAATAATAAATCCAACAAAGGTGCCTCATGAACTCTGTCTGTGATAGTGGCTTCTCCTAAGTTCTGCTTCCTCAAGGGAACAAATAAAGCATCAAAGTTTGCTAGCTTGGAAAAGGAGTTTGAAATATGAAATCTGAAATAAAGCAGAAAAATCCAGGGCATATGTAATTGGCAAAGAGTTTTGGTTACTACTTCTTGTAGAGAATTCTTTCAAATAAATAGGACCATAGAAATATAGTTGAAGGATGTGAACAGAGAATTCTGGGGAGAAAACAGATAGTATATTTATTTTGAAAGTCCAACCATACTAGCCCTGACCGGTATGGCTCACTGGGTTTGAGCATGGTCCCGCCAAGTGAAACATTGCCAGTTCGGTTCCCAGTCAGGGCACAGGCCTGGGTTGCAGGTTTAGTTCCTGGTCAGGGCATGTACAAGAGGCAACTGATCATTGTTTCTCTCTCATATCGATGTTTCTCTTCCTCTCTTCCTTCCCCTCTCTCTAAAAGTAAAATAATAAAATCTTTTTTAAAAGGTCCATCCCTACTAAGTAAACCTACAATGAGAGGCAATTATTTTTAGTTATAAATTTTGCAAAGATTAGAAAAAATAATTATGCCAATTATTGGATGCTGGACAATATTAAACCATGCTGAAGGAAGTATAAATTACAATAACTTTTAGCAATTTATATCTAAACCTTTAAAATGTATGTACTTTTGACACCAGAAATTTTACTTCTTGGAATTTGTTCTAATATTCAAGTATTTTCTAAAAAAGATTCTATATAAGAATTCCACTACAGTGTCATATAAAAATAGTGAAAGTTAGATTTTAAAATGGACAGAAGACTAGACATTTTTCCAGAGAAGACATACAGATGACAAAGGAACAGTAGATGACAACAGACACCAGAAAAGATGCTCAACATCATTAATCATCGGGGAAATGCAAATCAAAACCATAATGAGGTGTCACTTCATACCCATCAGATTGGCTATTATCAAAGTGACTGCAAACAACAAATGTTGGCAAGGATATGAAGAAAGGAAAACCGTTGTGTGGTGTTGGTAGGAATGCAGATTGGTGTAGCCACTATGGAAAACAGTATGAGGGCTCCTTAAAAAACTAAAAATTGAATTACCATATGACCCAGCAATTACACTTCTGGGTACCTTTCTGGAAAAAAATACATTAATTCAAAAAGATATGTGCATACCCATGTTCATTGCAGCATTATTTACAATAGCCAAGGTATGGAAACAACCTAGTTATCCATCAATGGATGAATGGATAAATAAAATATGATTTAAATACACAATAAAATATTGAGCCATAATAAAAGGAAATCTGCCAAATGGGACAATATGGATGGACCTTGAGGTCATTATACTAAGTACAGTAAGTCAGAGAAGGACAAACACTGCATGGTCTCACTTATGTGTGAAATCTCATCTAAGGAGCAGACCCAAGCTTATAGGCACAGAGAAGAGACTGGTGGTTGCCAGAGGCAGGAGTCAGGGGTGGGCAAAATGGGTGAAAGAAATCAAAAGGTACAAACTTCCGGTTTTAAAATAAATAAGTCACAGGGATGCAGTGCACAGCATCTTGACTATTATTAATAATATTGTACATTTGAAAGTTGCTAAGAGTAGATATTAAAAGTTCTCATAAGAAAAAATTGTAATTATGTATGATGATGGATGTTAACTAGACTTACTGTGGAATCATTTCACAGTATATATTGGGTTGGCCAAAAAGTTTACTGGGCCCTGGCTGGTGTGGCTCAGTGGATTGAGCACTGGCCTGCAAACCAAAGGGTCACCAATTCAATTCCCAGTCAGGGCATATACCTGGGTTGTGGGCCAGGTCCCCAGTCGCAGGGGGAGGGGTGCTCAAGAAGCAACCACACATTGATGTTTCTCTCCCTCTCTTTCTCCCTCCCTTCCCATAAATAAATAAATAAAATATTTAAAAGTCCATTGGGTTTTTTTTTCTATAAGATGGCTCTAGTAGCTCTTAGTTGACTTTAACTTCATTTGAAACAATTTTGTCAGATTGTATTGTGACAGATGTCACATCAGCGTGTGTTTAAAAAAAAACTTATCAAAATTGGTGAATTTTTATGTAGCCATTTTAATACTAAAGACAGAAGAAAATACACAGCATATTAGGCTTTATTATTTCAAGGATGGTAAAATTGCAACTGAAATGCAAAAAAAGATTTGTGCAGTGTATGGCAAAGGTGCTGTGACTGATCAAATGTGTCGAAAGTGGTTTGAGATGTTCCATGCCGGAGATTTCTTGCTGGACGATGCTCCATGGTCAGGTAGACCAGTTGAAGTTGA